GCTCGAACGTGGTGCGGTCCAATAGGAGAAGCTGTGGGAACAGCTGCCGCTTCCCCCTGAATTCACAGGAAGCGAACGGCCTGAACCGTCTTTGTACAGGAGCTCAGCAGCCAAACAATAGTTTGTGCTCGCAGGGCCATGTGGTGAGGCACGTGACGCGGTGCTGTTTTCTGCCGGGGTCCTTGCCCATCTGTTCTCTCGGCTCTTTCTGGGTTATCAGGCGCAGGTCCAAGTCCTCTCAGGCAGCCAGCCTCATGGCCAGAGATTACGAGCAGTAACCTTCCTGGCAGGGGCGGCGTGGCTTTGCTTTTATGCAGATTAGCCATGTGCTTCTCACTTCAAGGCGTTCCACAGGAAAAGACATTTCCTGTGTTTGGTTCTCAGTGGGCGGCTCCTGCCTCGCCGTGCAGGGCCCGTTGGGCTGGGGCCCGCGAACCGCGAGCACGCTCGGGAGAGGGATTACAGCGCTTGGCCCCCCTTCCCATTCCACCTCCAGTGCTACGTCACCACAACACAACCACACGCGCTCTCATACTGTTGGTGTCATTCATTCAGTGCCAAGATTGCTTTAAAAAATTCCCTTGGCCCCAGTTCAAACAGGAGTACAGCTGGGATGTGTTAGATTTTAGGCAGTCTGCCCTCAATTTGAGATGAGTTATAAATAGCAGTGCCGACTTCCTTAACTACCACTCTCAGAGGTAAAATGCAGGTTAATTACTGTGGGAATCAATTAAGCCTTCTCTCTGTTAAACAGCCAGTGATGCTCTTTATTATTATTATTATTATTTTTTTTTTTTTTGATTGCAAAAAACGGACACCAGATCTGGGAAGAAAGAAATTCTGGATCCAAGGTGAGACCTTGTGTTCCAAGGAAACTGATTCTGGCTTATGCAGAATCACTGAGTGATGCTATTAGAGGAATTGCACAATTAGCAAATTCAGGGGAAAAAAACTTGCCTTCCTCTTCTTGGTGCCCCGTCCTTCCCTGCAGTGAAATATCGCTGTGTAATAAACAGTCGCGCAGATTGCCGGACTACATCTGGCTGCGGACAGCTTGTCACCATTGCTCTTTACCATCCTGTCTCACAGTGGGACTGACCTTTCATTCATTCATGTAGCTCTGCTCTACCCGTAAGTGCTGCCTTTATTTTAGGTAACGAGTCGCTCTTGATTTTATTTTTATTCTAAAATCTTGGTTTTCTGGCAGAATTGTGTTACTCTTGTACCTACCTAGACCCTTTAGAAAAGTTTTGCCCGTTGCCTTCCACTTCATCTGTATTTTGAGCATCACTCCCGACCAGCTGATACTATTTTTCAATGCTGTTTCTGTTTTTACAAGTGGAAAGCTGTTTTGCCCTAGTAGCTGTGAAGTGGATTAGGGTAACTGCCTTTTGTGGTGCTGTTTCATCAAAGGGCCCGTCACACTTCCCATTGTGTATCTTGCTTTTGGAGGGCTTTAGAGCTTGGCAGTGTCAGATTGCGTTGGGCTGGTGCCTCCGAGCAGTCTTTCTTAGACCAAATTTGAACAATCAACTCTTATTTCTGGAAGACTGGTTTATTATGGGCTTTGTTGCACGTACCAAAATCCAGCCACTTTGATTTCTTTGGAATTTTGGCAGGGGACAGGACTCAAACTTGTCAAGTTTGGGTACTTGGAAAGTGCTATTAAAGAGCACAGATCCTGAGATTGCCTCTCTTTCTCTGGTTTGTGTGAACGCAGGGGGTCTGGACTTCACTGATCAAGGAGCAATGGTTCTCTCTCACTTATGTCTCCCTGTGGCAGGGCCTTTGCTTTTGAAGTGTAATCACAGTAATCTACTCCTGTGGTTTCCCATTGAAAGGATTTCCCATGTGTCAGTCCAGAGAAGAATCCCCAGCCTTTTAGCAGTTGGGGTTTGGCATTTCCGTATTTATCCTGAAGTGTTCTTGCAAGTGAACAGGCATCACTTCCTCTTGGCTTTTCCCATCCCGTATAACACCCATATACAAAGGGTCTATAGCCCATCCCTCCCAAACTCTTGCCCAGATTTAGTTGGCTAGGCACCGTGCTGTTCTTTCAGCCCTGCCTGTTCTCTTCTTGAAGCCCGTGTTGTTAAATTACGTAAGAATGGAGATGGACCCTGATGTTCACTTCTTCGACTAGAGGAAGACGGTTGGGGTTAGGGCAGTTAAGGCCCTATCAGTGAAAGAGATGCTCAGCCTCCTCCCTCCAAATCTCCCACAGCAGACATGTGCTGTATCAGCATGAAGGCACACTACAAAGCAGGAGGATGCAGGTTTGCCTTTAGATTACAGGCATCAAATGCATATATTCTATTTTTCCTTTTTGCAGAAGTTGAATGGGGTTTGTTCAGGTTAAAAGACCAGTAACCAAGGAAGGTTTGGGGTGCAAAGCCTCTTGAGCCATCGGACTTCCTTTTTGACTCCTGATAGTGTGCCAGATGCTTCCAAGTAAGAGGCCAAGTCCCAGAGGAGCTTTGTCTAAAGATGTGCACTGTATTCCTAGTCCAAGTGGTTGAGGGGGTGATTTTTGTCACATCTTGGGACTACAAAGTCACTTTTTCATGGACTGTACAAACCATTTCTGATTGCTGCTCATTCTTACTGTTAGGAGTTAGGGTGGAAGTGCGTCCTACAGGAGGGATTTGAAAGTGGGTGGAAGTAGTGGTAGCTTTGCAGGTGATTATAGGAAAAGGGAGATCTATGCCTAGGACTCGGCACGTGGGCTTTCCTTTTAAAGCACTGAGGCATGTGTGAAAGGCTGGTGGCACTGGCAGAGTGGGAAAAGGTGGTGATAAGACGGAAAAAGTAAAGTAGGAAAGGAGAAGTATGGAGGCAGTGATGAGACGTTTGAACTGATCAGGTGAAAAGAGAGGAATATGAAAGGATTAAACCAGCGATTTGACTTGGTTTGAAATAACAGGCCAGGGAAATGATCCTCACAGTAGCACGTCATGTATTAAAGGAGAAAACGTTAGTACGGAGATGATGACAATAATCCAAAGACACCAAGAAAAGTGAGGGCAGGTCAGTGGATGGTGTGAAGACAACGTGCATGTGTTAAGGCACGCTTAAACCTCAAGGTTGTACCTGTTCCAGAACAAAGTGGTTTAGATCTCCGCTGCTCACTTCTGAGCGCCAGCAAGCTGAGACCGCGGTACATCTGAATAGGAGCATCCACGTGGGGCTTAAACTTGCTTAACTGTCTTCATACCTTTCATCCATTTGCCCAAACTTTTTTTTCCCTAAGCAACCCTGTATAGATCTGGCACAAATAGGAGTTTATAGCTCTATGTGTGTGTGTGTTTGGGATTGCAGAGGGGTGCTTTATAATGTAGCCTAGTGATAGGGGAAAAAAATTAACCTATACACATAACATTGTGCTCTTTAATTCCTACCCAGTCCTGGGCGTTTTACAAGATGCCTTACTTGCGGTGGCGTTGTATCCAGGCTGCATTAAACTAGGTAGTGGGGATGGGATCCTTTAAATCAAGTTAATTTCCATTCGATGAGTTCCATCTTAAAACTAGACTTGTGCCCACCTGAATGGAGCTGTCTGAAGCGTATTGTAGTGTGTGAACATTTCTAGGGGAGGGTGGATTCCTCATGCATAATTGCAGTGCTGGTTTGGCTTGTGGGCTTCCTTCAGCTTGCGTCAGGAGCTGCGCAAAACCTGCATGTGCAGGCCTGTAGTGCCACTCCTCAAACACCCGACTGCAGCGAGAAGGTGAAGCAGTAGGAATACCAAACACGGCCTGCTCAGGGAATGGGCCGGGGGAGATAAAGAGGGTCCCTTGTTAGCCATCAGGAGACAATCAGCCAGTTTCTCCTAAATCCAGATTCCTGGTCCAGAGCAATGAAGCTTGAAGACTGTGCGTGGATTCTGGTGCTGCCCGATTTTTCACATGAGCAAAACCCTTAATATGAAGGACCTTATCTAAAGTCTGTCTTTAGTGCTGCCTTTGGTTAGGCTGAGCAGCTGCTTTCATTTGCAGACTGTATTTTGAGGGAAACTAGGCTGACATTTCTTATGCCTTTTCTTCATGCAGAGAGAACGCGTTTAGAAAGTGTGAGTAAAATTGCATTTTTTTCCAACTTTTCTCTTGCTTAAGTTATTTCAAGAGTGTGCGCTTACGGCAAACCTGGAAAAAAAAAACCCAAAGTACTTGCATAATTTTTGCAGACTTTGATTGTAAAACTCTACTCTTGGCTCTGGGCTTGGCCCTCATAGCTAATAAGGGTTTGTTACATGTGTGAAGAAAGCTGCTTTAGAAAGAAGTGTCAAAAAGTGACGCGAAGCACACGTGTAAAGATGTATGCTAAGAACGCACCTGCCTGCAGCTTTCGCAGGCATCGCTGTGCACCCCTAGCACCCTGCACTGAACTAAACTGTTGGGTTAGTGTTAACGGTGCAGCTGAATTTAAGTGCACAAGTGCGATTTTTGCATTGAGAGGCACAAACCTGCTTTGCTCAAGGGGGTACTGTTGTAGGAACCATAACATCTTGACTTCTGTGCATTCACATTTTAAATTGTAGTATCGCATTAATGTATTGTTTTGCGCCAAATTTAATTATTTAAATACATGCAGCCCTGAACTGCTTCATGGTGTGGGCAAAAACCCTTTTGTGGCTTCTGTGAAACAACTGCTCTTCAGTCCCTTAGTCAGATTTAGAAACTGGTCTTCATTTGTCCTAATGACTTTCCCACCCCTTCGTGTCTGCAGGCCTCAGCCAAGGTGGCAGAGATTCCTCTGAGTTGGGGAAGTGCGGTGGGAGTCTCTGTAGGGCCAGTACGGCCGCCTCTCCTCAACTGATGCTGTGTTTTATAATGTGACGGCTAACAATTCATTAGCTGAGGAGATGCAGGCCAGCTGGAAGCTTTGCTATGCCCTTTCCTGCCTACCACTTTCTTCATGGCTGTTTGGGTGGAAGGATCATTTGGGAAATCTTTTTTCTATGCCAGCAAAATATAGCTCATGTGTCATAACTTACTTTGCAGCCATCAAGCCCAATGGATCAGATGGGGAAGATGAGACCTCAGCCATATGGAGGAAGTAACCCATACGCACAGCAGCAGGGACCTCAGTCAGGGCCGCAGCAAGGACATGGATATCCAGGACAGCCATATGGGCCACAGACTCCCCAGAGATATCCAATGGCAATGCAAGGCAGGACGCAAAGTGCAATGGGCAGCATCTCATATGCACAGCAGGTAGAGCGTGCAGCCCCTCAGCCCCTCCCCGCTGTAGCCTCCTGTTCCCTAGCTAGAAGATGAATGAAATCTTGAAATGTGGCTTGCTATTGTCTGTGCAAAAGGAACCCATCTTCAAATTCAGTTCTGTCCCATCAACAGTTATTGAGGCGAAAAATGGCATTTTTGTTTAGACTGCGTATTATAATATAGCCTGGTTCCCTATGTCGTGGACAGGCTTTGTGCAGTCCTTGCTTTCTAGAGAGGTGACAGTGGATCTTTAGTATTAAAATGGGGGAGGAGGGGAAGAGATGAGGGTG